CTCCATTGTCCTCTTCCATCCCTGAGTTTCATTCCCTAGGGTCAACGGCTCTGGGTTGCCTCTTCTGTGTCTAGTCATACTTTCTGAGCATGGTTCTGAATCTGCACAGAACTAACCCTTCCTAAGTGGAGCTTTTTCTGCCCCGACACTGCTCTGTAAACCTCAGGGTGGGAGAGTACCAGACCACCCACATCTGAAGCCAGTATCATCAGCTCTGTTAGTGTTTTCATGGGCTGTGTCCAGGGACAGGAGACACTTGCATGAAGAGTTGGGGCAGATGTGACTCCAATTGAGCTAAACCTCTTCCTGAGGGTCCAAGTCTCTGTTTTGTCTTCTGTAAAATGATACCAGATGGATGTGAAGAAGAGGTGAAAATGTCAGCAAACAAGCATCCTTGGAGGTGAGATGCAGATGGAGGCCATGGAGGGAAGATGGCTTGAAGCATGGATGAAATATGAGCAGGAAGTATAGATTTAAAGGTAGAATCAACACTATGTTTAAGAAGCAATTAAAGAGCCAGGCAGTGAGGCAGAGGCAGCAGATCTCTGTGAGTTTGAGGCCAGCCTGATCTACAGAACTAGTTCCAGGACAGCCAGGACTGTTACACAGAGAAACCCTGTCTTGAAAAAAGCAAACAAAAAGAAGGAGGAGGAGGAGATTTTAGATTTATTTGTGCCTATGAGTGTTTTGTCTGCATTTTTGCATGTACACCATGTTTGTTGCTATGGAGCGCAGAAGAGGGTGTCAGATTCACTGAACACTGGACTTAGGGATAGACGGTTGTGGGGCATCATGAGGATGCTGGGAACCCAACTCAGTTTCTGTGCAAGAGCAGGAAGTGATCTCAACTGTTGAGCCATCTCTCCTGGCCCTGTCATTTCTCTTTAAACTTTTAAGATGTGAGTGTTAGCAGGAGGCCATAGGAACCATGCATGATGAAATCAGAGGACCATGCTGAGCCAGCCCCATCCTTCACTGTCCCAGGGAAAGCTGGCCCTGTTCCCCACCACCCCCACACCCTTCATCACGATGGCCTGGGCATAGGAAAGCCAGCTCTGTCCCTTGACTTGGCCAGGACTGACCAGCCCAGTTACCACCCAGGTTCACAGCTGGGCCTTGGGTTGGCCAACCCTAACATTTGCCCCATATAGGACCTGCTGGAACTTGTGAAGGGCCTAGTCCTGTGGGTTCTCCGTGACTGGAGCAGCTACAAGATATCAGAGAGGGGTTTCTGTGATGATCTAGTGAGGATGGTGTACCAAAAACCAGAGGCCTTGAACCAGAGCAATGATTCATTGCAATGAACTTTGCAAGTAAAGTTAACTGGACACACAGCAACTCCCAATGTCACCAGGGCGAATGAAGAGGTGGAGAGGCAGGAAAGATGGAGGCGCAAGAGGGTTTTTTTGTTTGTTTGGTTTGGTTTTTTGCTGCTGTTGTTTTTTCTTGTTTGTTTGCTTGTTTTGTTTGAATTTTTTTTAAATTAAAAAAAATTCTTTTCCTTAGCTGGGTAGTGGTGGTACAGGCTTTTAATTCCAGCACTTGGGAGGTAGAGGCAGGTAGATTACCATGAGTTCAAGGCCAGCCATGTCTACAAAGTGACTTCCAGGACAGCCAGGGCTACACAGAGAAACCCTATCTGGAATTTTTTTTTCTTTTGGTGGGGGGGGACTCTGCAGCAGGAATGGGTGGATATGGGGGGACTGGGAGATGAGCAGAATTGGAATGTATGATGTGAAACTCCCAATGAATCAATAAATAAATAATGTTAAATAAACAACAAAGATGTGTGTGTTGGGGGGGTGTGAGCACGTGTGCCACAAGCATGCATATGTATGTGGAAGTAAGAGGCAGCTTCAGGAGTTCTCTGTACAGTGGCTTCCAGAGATTCAGTTCAGGTCTTTAGAATTGGCAGCAAAAGCTTTTACTATCTTACAAGCCCTGATCTGTAATTTTAACTTTAGGTAATCTACATTGTAACATAATATAGAAAAAGAATCCAACACCAGTTCCAGGGGATTCAACGCCCTCTCCTGGGCTCACTGGGCATTGCACACACGTAATATGAAGGCAGGATGCATACAAAATAAAAACAAATAAATCTTTACAATTTTAAATTGGGTTCTATTGTTTTTAATTTCCAAGAGATATTTCTTATAGTCTAATAAACATTTCCCCTCACTTATATAGTAACTTGTTCTTGTTTTAAAAATATAAAGTCTCTGGGGCATTAGACAATGTTTTCAAAATAAATTATGTGTATAGGTGTTTTGCCTGCACGTGTGTCTGTGTACCATATACATGCTTGGTGTCTCAGAAGACCAGAAGAGGAAGTTAGATCCCTTAGATCTGGAGATACAGACAGTTGTGAGCTGTCATATAAACCGGGGTCTTCTGAAAGAGCAACCGATGCTCCTAAGTGACCATCTCTCGCTGGGTGTTAGTGTCACATGCCTTTAATTCCGGCTCTCGGGTGGAAGAGGCAGGAGGATCTCTGTGAATTAGAGATCAGCCTGGTCTATAGGGTGAGTTCTAGGACAGGCTCCAAAGCAATAGAGAAACCCTGTTTTGAAAAACCAGAAAAAGAAAAAAAAACAAAAAACAAAAAACAAAAAAAAAAAAAAAAAAAAAAAAAAAAAAAACCAGACCATCTCTCCAGCCTGTAGACCAGTGGCTCCCAAATTTCCCAATGCAATGGCCCTTTAATAAGTCCCTCATGTTGTGGTGGCCCCACCACCATAAAATTATTTCATTACTACTACTTCATAACTGTAATTTTGCTACTGCTATGAATTATAATATAAATACCTGATAAGAGTCAAAACCCACAGGCTGAGAAGCACTTCTGTAGACAGTAATATTTTATTGTTTGTTTTGATCTTTAAAACTAGCTCTTACTGGTCATCTCAGGCTGGTCTCAAACTCAAATTTCCCATCTCAGCGTCCTGTGTGCTGGGACCACAGCTGCATGCCGCCATGTCCATGCAGTATTTTATCTGTAAGCTACAACGTTTCCATTTCCTTTTATCTGCTCTCTTTGTTTTGCTGACTGTTTAAAAATACATTATTTACTTATGTGTGCCATGGGGTGAGGTGTGCATGTACAGTGACATGAATATGGAGATCAAAGGGTAACTTCTGGAGCTCCGTTCTGTCTGTGGTGAGATATTCACCCTGCCTGCACCTGTAGCACTGACCACGCCCACTCGTGGTCCCAGGGGGAGACATAACAGAGGGTTAGATCTAGGTCTGGGATCCCTGACCCCAGAGTTAGCTCTCTCTTGGTTCTGGTAGGGTCACTGAGAGACCCCTGGGTGTGGATCCTTGGAGCAGGAAGTTGTGGGTCATCGGTTTCTTATGTAAGTGACTTCTCCCCGAATAAAATTAACAACCTATATTAAACCTAGTCCCTTGTATCTTAATCAGCATCCGGCGATGTCTCTCCTTCCACCATGTGGGTCCCTGAATTCAAATTCAGACCATCAGGCTTAGCAGCAAGGACCACTACCCACTGAACCATTTCAATGGCGCGTTCTTGCTTGTTTCAAGCTTCACTTAATATCTGAAAGCAAGGGACTGCTTTGATAACTCCTGTTGCACTGTGGTGTGAGCCAGCTTTCAGTAAATACAGGCTTCCTCTGAGGACCTCAGTGCGATGTCAGAATGTATAAGCCTTTCCTTGAAGGCGTTTCTTTCCATCCACCATAGTTATTTGGTCTTCTTTCTGCCTGGAAGGTGGACTTCTGTCCATCAGCTTTCTTTGGGTTGGGTGACCTAGACACCCTGACTTCCAGTGCCCCAGACACCCAGCTGATTATTTGGGCTAGGTGACTTAGACCGGACTTCCGGCTGATTATCTATATCTGCAATTTGTCAGCACAGTGAGTAGGCCACCTCTGCCGTTGATTTGTTCTCCTGGGTCAGAAGGTTCGTACCCTCTCCACAGAACCCTAGCTCTGCACAGACGAGGAGACACCACAGACACTTGAGTCCTTTGAGTTTTGTTCTCATTTTTGATTGGCCTTGGCAATGGATTTGGCTTCTACATGAATGTGATACAATTTATGCTAATGAGAAGTGATAGGAAGTGTACTGAAGGTTTCTGGATGTTTATTTTATGGCTTCGAGAAGCCAAGCGTGGTGATGTATGTCTGTAATACTGGCAGTCTGGAGCCAAAGGCAAAAATATCCTGAGTTCAAGACTAGCCAGGGCCATACAGAAAATTTCAGGCCAGCCTCAGCTACATTGTGAGTTTTCATCTCAGAAAACAATAAGCCACCACCAGGAGTGGTGGCTTAAACCTGTCACCTCAGCTGCGGTTGATCAGAGGTCTGCTTGGGCTGTATGTAGATTGAGTTCAAGGTCAGCCTAGGAAACTTAATCTCAAAATACAGAGTAGCAGAGAGGATTGAACTCACTGTGTGGAATTCTTGCCAAGCATGGGTGTAAGGCCCTGGGACTCAATCTCAGTGCGGGAGGGAAGGGATGCTACCTGCCTATTGGAAAGCAGAGTTGAGGAAGAAGAGGGGCCGTGCACAGACAGCCAATTCTAGGCAATACTACTGTGCAAGGAGCACAGGAGAGCCAGGCCTGGCCGGGGAGTTCGGCCCCAGTACAAGCTACGGCCCTCCACTAGGTTCCTGGCTCCAGCCAGAGTTTGCTGGGTGGCCCAACGCCCCTCTTCTAGTACTGGGGATCTCGAGCAAACTGGGGTAATGATAATAGAATTCAGTGAAAAGAGGGGTCGGTAAGGAGGCTGAGAGACCCTCAGGTCCCACCCTCTGCCCCGGCCTTCTACCGGGAAGGTCGGGTCATGCACTCCACCCGGACCCCAGGTGCAGTCGTCCCGGGACTCTGCGCCGGCGCCGGGCTGGGTTCGCGCTCCTCTGCCTGGTCCCCCCTCCACTGGCTCTCACTTGGTCCGCGCCACTGCATCTTGTGTGTGCTGGGCCCGCCCGCACTGCGGGGAACAGCGCGGAGCCGCCTTGGGCGCCTTGCGGGCCGGTGGCCTGGGACGCGCGGGCGGGCGAGGGGGCGGGATGGCGCGGCTCCGGGGCCGGTAACACGGTGGCCGGCACCGCAGGAAAGCCATGGCCCGGCGGCGGCGCCGTGCCTGCATCGCTCTCTTCCTGGTGCTGCTCTTCGCCTTCGGCACGCTCATGGGGCTGCGCACGCTCAAGGCCCCGGATGGGTTGCCCGCGCTGGGTCCGGGTCCGGAGCTAGCGCCCTTCGAGCGGCGTCCGGAAGGGAATCCCGCGCCCGCCCGCGCCCCGGCCGCCCCCGCCGCGCCGCCGCCACCGCCGCTGCCGCGCACCGCCGCTCCCCGCACATCGCTGGGCCCCGCCAAGGCTGATCCCGCGCCCCGGCAGAACATGCACGTCTACTCCGACCTGCACGCCTTCTACTATTCGTGGTACGGGAGTCCGCGGCGCGAGGGTCACTATGTTCACTGGGACCATGTCATGGTGCCGCACTGGGACCCCAAGATCTCGGCCAGCTACCCGCGTGGCCGCCACAGCCCTCCAGACGACTTGGGATCCAGCTTCTACCCGGAGCTGGGGCCTTACAGCTCCCGGGACCCCGATGTGCTACGGGAGCACATGACCCAGCTCAAAGAAGCCGCAATCGGTGAGTCCCTTAGCCAGTCTGTCCCTCAGCCTCGCCCTTCCCTCCGCACCTCAGCTCTTGATGCTTGGCTACGGGGCCCCTGACCTCACAACCCTTCCCTCTCACTCTCATCCTGGACCTACTACACCCCATGCCCACTCTACCTTCTGGGCCTTTCTTACCCTCAACAACCCCAGGGTCCTTCCATAGGGTAGAGTTGGTGTGTGTGTAAGAGTAGCTTTAAGTATGTTGCACTTCCAGGTTTCAGTAGAGTGGGGATCCTGACCTCTCAAGTCTGGGGCTCAAAAAAAAAAGAGCCAGGGGAGGCCTCTACTTTCACAGCAGGTGCAGGGGAGTGCAACAGCTGTGTGGTTGATCTAGCAGGACTGAGGGTGGGCACAGCACATGACAGGAACTTTCATCAAGGGCAGAGGTCCCTGCTGGGGTGGGGAGGCTCACCTAGCTTAGATTGTCACTGAATTTTGTTAGCTTTTAATCATACATCTTGTTATACCATGAGATAGTTTTGAGAGCTGCAAAGTCTGGATCCAGGCTTAGTGGTGCATGCTATAATCCTAGCACTTGGGAGAGTGAGGCAGAAGGATTCCCAGTTTGCAACCTGCCAGGGTTACACAGTGGGATGGTATCTCCAAAATAATGAATGAATGAATGAATGAATAAGAGGGATGAGAGGGTCATACACAAAGATAATTGAGATGCGGGCTTTTCTGTCCAGGCTTGCTTTCTAGACAGGCAGGCAAGACAAGTGCTCTCTCCCATGGGAAGCATGAAGATAGGACTTCACAGGGCTTTTCTTCAGATAGGACCGCAGAGTTAGGGTTATGTTTCCAGGTGAGTGTGGCATTGCCATTGTTTTCCCTTCCTTCTGCTACTTGATGATGGACTCCTGCAGCCTGGGCTGCAGAACTTCAGCACTGCTGGTGTGGACAGTTCCGAGGCCAGTTAAGCTAGAGTCCCAGGTCTGTCCCCAGGAACCTAACAATATCCTGGCTCAAGGTTTTCAGGAATTACACAGTTGGAGATGAATTCTGAGAAAATCTTTGCTGGTGGTAGGGGCTACACTGTGCACCACTGAAGGGGCTTTTTATTGTTTAGGAGTCTTGGTTCTTTCCTGGTACCCACCTGGCATGGCTGATGATAATGGGGAACCCTCAGACGATCTGGTACCTGCCATTCTGGACACTGCCCAGCAGTACAACATCCAGGTGAGTTCAAAAGGGTACACAAGTTCTCATTCTGGAGAATGTCCCTTCTCTGCCATACAGTTAGTGCTGGGTGGCTGAAGATGACAAACACAGTAAGTGTGGTATTGGGAGAGGGTGGAGCAGGCTGTGCCATGTCAACTGCTATCAACTTTAATTTTGAGAAAACTAAATAGGGGACAAATGGAAGACTATAACTATCACTTTTTTTTATATTTAATTGTATTTAAAATTTTTTACGTATGTGTTTACCTGTGTGTGGGTATGTACAGATGCCTGCAGAGGCCGCAGGCATTGGATCCCCAGGGACCTCATTGTGAGCCATTTGACATGGGTGCTGGGAACCCAGGTCCTTTGGAAGAGCAGCAAGTGCTCTTTACTGCTGAGCCCTCTCTCCAGTCAGTCCCTTTGCTTTTGTTAAATAATATAGGTTAGGTTGGAGATCCTTGACCCTGGATACTGGGTAGGCAAGAGCCAAATGGATCTGCAGACAGAATTCTAGACTCCACTCCATAGTAGAGGACAGTGCTGGGCCTCCACTGGCAGGTTCTCCTTCAAGTGGAAGGATACGTGTGCAGCCATTCTCCTCAAAAACATCAATAGAGGAAGTCAGTTCCTACAGAGAAACCCCCTCGCCTTCCTGAGGTTCAACAAATTGTGGCACATTTCCCATTGGCAGAGAGTAGGCACATGATTCCTGGTGTTCATGATTGGAGCTGATAGAGGTAGAAACCTTAGTGCCATCCTGCAGTGACCCCAGAATGACTCCTGGATGCCCTGTTGTGGGACATGGACAAACTGTCACCCTTCATGTTTCACTTGAAGACAGTGGCAGCCTTCATTGTGCCCATCCTTGCCAGGCTTTCCTGAATTCAGCCCCTCCCTGCAAGCCATGGCTGGGGGCATAGCTGCATGTGTTGTGCTCCTGAATGTTCACCTGATCTGCAACTCCTCTACTTGTGGCAGGTGGCCTTCCATATCCAACCCTACAAGGGCCGGGATGACATCACTGTCCACGACAACATCAAGTACATCATTGACACGTAAGATGGGAATCTAGGTGGAAGTAGGATACAAGGGTTGGAAGGCCAGGTCAGGCAGTGCAAGTGTGGAATGCATGTGTCCCTAGCAGTTGATGAGGGTGCTAGGCTTGGAGTCGGGCAACTGAGTGTCAGGTCCAGGTCCGGGGCCCTTGCCGAGTCTTGTTTTAATATGCAGGTGCTTCATACATGCTTGTATATATCTACGGAAAAACTGTGCCCACACACACAGCTGTTATCTTCAGTGGATTTTCTGACTTCATACTTATACTTTAGTGGTTGGGGGTGCAGAAAAACTCCCCAACCAAGTGAGAAAGCACAGCAGTCTGTATGAAATAAATAAAAAGTAAAGGGAAGTTTTGTGTTAAGAATGTGCCCAAGAAGTTTTGTTTTTGTTGCCCCCCCCCCCATGGTTCTGGAGATCAAGCCAGGGTCCTTTGCATGCTAAGCATGTGTAGGTCCCTTATGTCCCAGCCCTCCAGGCATTACTTTAGAATGGGTGGTGATATGTGCTTCTCTGGGAGGACTTATCCTGTGTGCTGACACAAAGAGATGGTTCTTGCTTTCCATGTGAGTATACAGCAAGTTAGTGGCTATCTGCCAGATGAGAGAGCTCTCAGCAAGAACCAAACTTGTTAGGCACTTTGATGGTGGACTCGGAAGCTCCCAGAGCTGAGATATAAATATGGTTGTTAAGTTAAAAGGATCGAGTGAGCTTAGAATCCTGTTGTTTTTAAGACAGGGTCTCATATAGTGTAGGCTGGCCTTGAGCTCTTTATATAGCTGAGTATGACCCTGAACTGGTCTGCTGTCCTTAGCCTCACAAGCACTAGGACTACATGCCTGAGGCCCTGGATTCAATCCCCAACAAGTTTTTATAAGATTTTATTTTTTTATATGCATGTGTGTGTCTGTGGGTGCCCATGGAGGCCAGAAGAGGAAGCTGGAGTTACAGGCATGTTACACAATGTCTAAAGTAGGTGCTGGGAACAGAACTCAGGTCCACTAGGAGAGCAGCAATTACTTTTAACTTCTGAGCCATCTCTCTAGCACAATAGTTCTTTTTAAAAAAAATATACTGAAATTTTAAAAATCATATTCTCTCTTCCTACTCCTTTCCCTAACTCTTCCCAGACCCATCACTCATCCCTACTTCAATATTGTTTTTTTAATATAAGTCTGCTCTAGCTGGGCATGCTGGTGCACATCTTTAGTTCAAGGCTAGCTTGGTCTGTTTACTGAGTTCCAGGCTACTACGTAACTAGACCCTGTCTCAAATAATAAAATAATAAGTTGGCTCTGCAAAGATATGGGGGAAAGAGGGAGATTCTAGGCAGAGAGAGAACTGGCAGATGGAATGTGCTAAGGATGGGACCAACATAAAGGTTGGTTAAAAAGGCCAGGGGTGGGGAATCTGAAGACCGCACAGGGGTGTCCTGACAGGTCACAGGAAGGAGTGGTCAGATCAGATCCTATAGGAAGGCAGGAATGGAAGACCAGACACCAATTAGGATATTGTTTCTGCAGTCCAGGTGAAGGTGTGGTGGCCTGGCTTGGGAGAAGGGGGTTGGGGATGACAGGTCAGGGAAGGCTGGGAAGGGAGAGGCAGGTGAATAATTGGGGAGTAAGCTCAACATGTAACCTGCTGAATTCTAGACTGCTGCTTAGAGCACAGAAAAAGATCTCCCTTGTGGCTTATCTTTCATCTGTGCTGGCTTCTCACAACCAACTCAAGTCTCTCCCTCCTTCTCCTCAGATATGGCTCCCATGGTGCATTTTACCGTTATAGGAACAGCATGGGCAAGAGCCTCCCACTCTTTTATATCTACGACTCATATCTGACGTCCCCTGAGGCCTGGGCCCACCTCCTGACACAAAATGGGCCCCACTCCATCCGCAACACTCCCTATGACGGGGTCTTTATAGCGCTGCTGGTGGAGGAGGGCCACACCCATGACATCCTCGCAGCAGGGTTCGATGGAATGTACACCTACTTTGCCTCCAATGGCTTCTCCTTTGGCTCCTCCCATCAGAACTGGAAAGCTGTGAAGAATTTCTGTGATACCAACAATCTGATGTTCATTCCTAGCGTGGGGCCTGGGTACATCGACACCAGCATCCGGCCCTGGAACAACCACAATACTCGAAACAGGGTCAATGGCAAGTACTATGAGACAGCCCTGCAGGCGGCCCTCACTGTGAGGCCAGAGATCGTCTCCATCACTTCTTTCAATGAGTGGCATGAGGGCACACAGATCGAGAAGGCTGTTCCCAAGAAGACGCCAACTCGCCTCTATTTGGACTACCTGCCTCACCAGCCCAGCCTGTACTTAGAGCTGACCCGCCGTTGGGCAGAACACTTCATCAAGGAAAAGGAGCAGTGGCTGATGTGAGGGGCTACCACTCAAACATTAGGTCACCAAGCTGGTTCAGCTGAGGATATAGGCACACACTAGTCCCAAGTAGCGATTGGGTGCTTGTGGGTGGGTGGGCCGGCTAGCACATGCAGAACACAGCCTGGCCCTGGGACTGACTGGGAAGCAAGGCTTGATGAAGGTGGCTGGCAGGAGGCTGGACAGAGCTCAGGGCAGTTCCACATCCTTTAGCTTTCAGCTGTGGCAGGTTGTATAGGGGAGTTGCCAGCCACTGTGCTTAAAAGGTCTCAGGGTTCTGAGCTAGTATGCACCTTATTTCCTTTGGACAGCCTACATCTCCTCAGGCACCTTCCCACATCTTGCTCAATACAGGGAACGGTATCTGACACTTCTAAAGGGGAACTTTGTTTACAGTTCCTCTGGTAGACTCCTGTGTGGCATTACCAGGAATCACAGAGCATTCACTCATTACTAGGCACCTCACTGTCAGGTGCTAGGGAATGTGGTCAATGTTCCCTTTCTGAGCTTATAGGAATCTTGCTTTCTGGTGTAGCTGTGCAGCTAGCACCTTGGCTGATTTGCTCTTCTCTGCAGCTACACCCAGGCCTGGAAGTTCAGCTGTTTTTCCTCCAAGAAAATAACTGTGTTCCAGAGCCTTTCCCAGATGAACATACAGCTGCAGAGGGGACTAGGTCACTCTTCCTTCAGCTGTCTAGGCTGGGGAGGCCACCCACTAGGGCCACTCTCAATGCTCCTGTGATTTGTATTAAGTCTGCAGTGGTGTTTGCCAGTACACATTCCTCTTACAGCCCTCATAAATGCTGACCTCTAGGTCAGTCTATGACAGATTAGTGTATGGCTGGGCTGGCTAGTTTTAACACAATGGAGATGGATTTGCTTAAATGATTAGTTTATGTACGATTTCTAGAGGGAAGTTAACCAGCCAGTACTTGTTTATAAACAAACTAATGCTAACTGCAAGGATCCTTGTTAAAGACTGATGGAATATTTTCAAGCAAGATTCTCAAAATACACTAGAAAACGTTCAGTGGAAACCACTTACTGATTTACAGGAATAGGCTGAGCCATAACTATGGGAAATGGAGGCAAATGGGGGAGGATGAGGTAGAATATAGGTCATTTCAAGGACAACCAGTCCATTTACTGACACTAAACCCCACCTGACAGGTGAGCAGAGCTGGCCACCCAGCCTGTAGCTTAGTTGACAGGGCTGGATCTACCCAGCACTAATTTCATTTCATGCACATACAGGCCAGCAGGAAGGGGCAATGAAACATGACTCCGATCTTCTACAGGCTAATCTACATCGATAGCCATAATGCACATATATACCTTGACCTAGAATGCTACCCTGAAGAAATAGTTCAAAAGAAAAATAAACCATTTACAACTGTTTGTAGCAGCATTTTTTAATAATAAAAAAATACAGTTTAAATAATAAAAAATAATTCTGTAGAATACTTGGCATATATATGAACAAAGATAAAAGGCTTCTGAGTAAACAATGAAGCTAAATAAATTACACACGGAACTATATAACCTGTTTTATTAATAAATAAGAAAGTCACTGGCTGAAACAGTCAAGATTTTATTTTTCCAGTATTATTTCACTTGGGACCCCTATGATAATTTCCCTAAAATGACCTGATAGCCAGGAAAGCTCGTCTTGGGCTTCTGACTTCCCTGCACTGGTCCTGAGACTATTAAAACTACACTAGTGCTTCTAGCTGGCTTGACATGAAGAGCCACTGCCCACCAGAAACAAGCTCTTAATACATTCTCTGTACTCAATTTAGTTTTCCACTTAAAAAGCAGGCCTTAAAATAATAAGGCTGCTCTAAGAATGTTCTTACCTTTGTTCAATTTTTGGTTGATATATAAATCTACAAGGCTCAACCTGCAGCTTCTGGCCTACAGTGTTCAGAGAGAGAGAGAGAGAGGGGTACCCTAAAAAGCCAGGCTACAGGTATACTCCAGGAGCCTCTGCCAATGAGGCCTTGCCAACCAGTGAGCAGACACATAGTATCCAAGCATGGTTCTTGGGTCCTCCCAAGTTTCATGAACAGGACCCCTGTAAAGGGAGCAGCCCATATTTCTGTTGGAGGATGGCTGTAGTGTTTTCCAGGGCACTGAGGAAGACACAGAAGGCAGTTATAGTCTGATTTCTCAGGGCACTGAGCCCACCAGTCTGAAGAGTAACCATTAAAGATCACGGTCCCATGCTCTATTCACCAAACTAGATGAATCCTAAAAAGCCAGCCATACCAGGGAATTTAGTCCCATCCCACTCACCACTTCCCTGTAGTGGCCCTCAGTGACCCCAACCAATGCAAGATGGATATGAACTCTGTAGTTAAAGCTACTCTTTCTCCAACCTCCTTCACATATTCCAAAGGCAAAGGAAAGAGCCTTACCAGCCTGGGCGAATAATGGCAAACTTTCCAGGAACAGATAAGTCAACCACAGTAGAGCCAAGGCGGCATTCAGGGCTCTGACTATCCCCAATTGGCCCCCCATCAATGACCAGGGACAAGTGAGGCCAGAGGTCTTGAAACTCCTGAAAATAGGGGAAAAGAAGGGCACGACCATGTGAGCATACATGGCTCACATTTAAAATCTAAGCATCTTCCTCTAAGCAGAAAAGAAACCTTACTTATGCCCAGCTATGTCAAGGGCACAATTAACACCAAGTCTGCAGCCCCTTTAGGTATGCATTCCAAGTTATACCTTTCATAAAGAAAACCTCAATGTACAAAAAGAATCCTAAATATTAAGGAGCTGTGGAGGCCTAGGTCCAATAAGTGGTACACTGGGTATGAGCCCCAAGATGTGGGCTTTTTAACCTTGGACTTTCCATCATATCTGTGTGATGCATGAAATTACTTTATCTAGGTTCCTAAAGTGAGAGGGCCAGCCAATATAAATAGTAAGGGCCTTTCTAGATCTAGCAGCCAGAACCTAGACCTCAATGGAAGTCAAGCTCAGAGCATAGAGAATAAAATAGGGTGGACTCTGCAAAAACATACCACCAGCACTTAGTTCTTGGGCCGTAAAACAGACAGCTGAATTGTTAAATGATCCAGAGGCTTTCTGCCCCCAGTGAAGAATCCCCAATGCAGTTAGGTCAGGGTCTTGGTGATAAGAGAATCATAAATACCAGTTTCTAATAAAACAATTACTGTGCTGGCCTGGGGTTGTTGACAAGGTAAGAACTTACCCCTCCTCGGTAACACCCTCATCCATCTCTATACCTGTATAGCCACCAAGAGCAAATAAAGCAGATACTGCATATCCAAGGTCCCTATCACTTAAATGCACCTAACTTCAGTGTTGTAAGAACAGAGAGCAAAGTTTCTTTATGCTCATGTGTTCTAAATCACATACCCAAGACAGGATTAAGATGATCTTGTCTCAGGCCTTTCTGGCAAGCAGAGATAAGACAATATGGTTAAGAGTCAAAAACTAGGTGAAGCCAGATGCACTAGTATAGATCCAAAAATTGGAGAGGCCTGAGGGTACTGAGTTCAAAGGCAGCTTGAGCTACAGTTGTAAGACCCTGCCTTAAGCCTTTAATTCCAGCACTCAAGAAGCAGTTCAAAGCCAGCCTACTCTACATAAGGAGTTCCAGGGTTACAGTCAGACACACACACACACACACACACACACACACACACACACACACACACAGGGGGGGGGCAAAAAGTTGGGACTGTCATTTAATGGCTATGTGACAGAGAAGTGAACTAATGTTTCAGCGCCCCAAGTTCTCAGCATTGCCATGAAGTCTGACAACTGCTTCCTTCACAAGACTGTCTTTACTTTCTGTAATCTTTTCTATTTTTGTTTTGTTTTGAGACAGGGTCTCTCTATGAAGTTCTGGAACTTGCTCTGTAGACCAGGCTGGCCTTGAACTCAGAAATTGGGCTGACTCTGCCTCCCAGTGCTGAGATGAAAGGTGTGAACCACCACCCTGCCCCAGCATCTTTTTTATCTATTATTATAGATACAAAGAATACATCTGATCTTCTTTGGACTCTCAAGATAAAACTTACTAACACTAAAAAAAAAAAAAGTTTCTGGGGCTAGAGAGATGGCTCAGCAGTTAAAAGCATTGGCTGCTCTTCCAGAAGATCATGGTCCAATTCCCAGGACCCACAAGGCAGCTCAAAACTGCCTTTAACTCCAGTTCCAATCTGATACCCTCACACATGCAAGTAAAACACCAATGCACATAAAAAAAGAAATCATTAAAAGTCAGCCTGGTCTGCAGAATGAGTTCCGGAACACCCAAGGCTACATAGAGAAACCCTACCTTGGAAAAAGAGGGGGGAAAATGTTTTTTTCTTGCCTTGGCCTCTTAGTGTTGGCATTACAAGTATGTACCACCTTCCCCCTTCCAAGATTCTTTCATTTGGATGCCCTCCTCTAAACCATATCAAATGGGTAGCCTTCTCATTGTTACACCGAAGGCCCAGGTTTCTGCCAGGCAATCCCTGTGCAGCATCAGCTTTACTGGCTCTGAGGAAACAGTAGTTTAGCCTGCTGGGACCAATTCTCACCTCAACACTCAGAGAACTGGCCTGGGAGCTAAGGTTGGCGCTGGTGAGCGCAAGTGGTCCCCCAAACATTTGGGCCAAGTCCTGCATGAAAGCGTGGTTAGGAATCCGGATGCCAACAAGCTGTGAAGCAAGAGGAAAGGGAAGTGTGAGGAAGGTTTCAAGGGCTTGCAGGAGTCTAATTCAGATCACAGGGAAAACTGAATGTGACTCACAGGCGTGAAGGGGTTCAGGTCTTTGTTGAGCTCCTCGGAGCGTTGCATCACCAGGGTCACTGGTCCTGGCAATAGGTCCTCCAGGAGCTCCTTGGGTACTCTCACCTGGCAGTACCTGGCGGCAAAAGAGCACAAATCCACTCCAAATCACCCTGGTGGGCCTTTCCTGGCCCGAAGGCAGGTTCAGGAAAGTGGTCCTTTCAGTGTACAACGAGATCTGCCTGCCTCCCTTCTTCCTCTTCCTCAGAGAGCTCAGACACAAGGCAGAACTCCAGAGAAGTACCCCGGACTTAAAAGCCCACACGCCTACCTTGGCGACAATAATTGTGCCGTGACACCGTGAATACAACCTCAAACTATTTTATCATCTGGGAGACACTCCTTCTAAATTGTTACCGCGATTCTTTCTTCCCACGGGCCTCCCCTCCGTACATCACAAGATCACCAAGACGACAGTGCCACGCTCGCCTAATTCAGCGTTACGACCAGTGAGTGCACTGTCTAATGCGGAGCCTGGCACGCGTTAAGCGATCCCAACATATTTCCAGTTCCGGATTCCTTGGTGAGACAGGACAAGCCCCTCCCGCACTCAGCGCCTCAGTCTCCCAAGCCTGTCACCGGAAGCCCCTCCCGCGGTGCCGCCCCCAGCGGGGCCGGGTCGGGGCGGCCTCACCTGTAGACGTCGGCCACGCGGCCCAGGCACACGGCCAGCGGCTTGGTCTCGCTGCGGCCCTTGAGGCGATACACGCAGTCCAGAGCCGCCGAGCAGCTCGCCGAGCAGGCCAGTCCATACAGCGTGTCAGTTGGGACCGCCACCACGGCGCCGGCGCGCAGCTCGGCCACGGCGGCCCGCAGCGCCTCGGTCCAACCGGAGCGCTCGGGGCTTGCGGCCTGCACGGCCCCGCTCTCCGGAAGCCGCAACAGCCGGGCCCCCGGCGTCGCCGGAGCGGGCGCGGGCGGGCGTAGAAGGCGGCATCTGCGGCCAGAACCCACTGGCCCGTCGCTCAGCCCCATGCCGGCCGCCACCGCGGCCCTCAGCCCCGCACAGGGACGCGCAGTAGACATCCGCCCAGACCCGCTTCCGGGAGGAAGTGACGCACGCGCCCATCTTCCGGCCCCCGAGGCTCGGTCCCGCCTCCGCGCCGGGCAGCTTAAAGGGACCGCGACCCCCAGGCGACTTGAAGGAGACCGGTGGGGACGGGGCGGGGCGCATCTTAGCGGAGCCCTCGCGCGGCGCCGGGGCGGGGGCGGCCGGCAGGGGGGTGGTGGTAGGGCGGCGATGGAGTGGGGCCCGGGCGCAGCCTGGTCACGGGGGTGAGAGCGGGCCCGCGGGGCGGGGGCTGGGGCCGCGACCTCGCGCCGCCCAGCGCCGGCCCTGACGCTGTCTCTCTCCCGGGCAGGGAGGCTGCCGGCGTGGACCGTGGGAAGGCGGGGCTGGGGCTCGGCGGGAGGCCACCCCCGCAGCCGCCCCGGGATGAGCGCGCCCAGCAGCTGCTGGACGCCGTGGAGCAGCGACAGCGGCAGCTCCTGGACACCATCGCCGCCTGCGAGGAGATGCTGCGGCAGCTGGGCCGCCGGCGTCCGGAGCCGGCTGGTGGCGGGGTCAGTGCCCACTCCGGGCTGGGCCTGGGGAGGTGGGGTCTGCCCACTGACTACACTGGCTAAGCTCGACCCCCGCCCCAGATGAAGCGGGTGGAAGAGCATCCCCACCGCTCTACACTTAACCCCCTTTGATCTGGGTGAGGTTTTGAAAAAATACGATGTTGTCAAGATGCTAAGTGGCCTTGTCCTTGCTGGGCCTAACCTAAGGCCTTTCCTCCCTGCCTTGTCCCCCTCCCCCCTTTCTGTTCCAACTAGAACGGTTCAACCAAGTCCGGAGCGCCTCCCCAGCCAGCTGTATCCGCCAGAGGTGGCCTTCCAAAGGATGCTGGCGATGGATCTGCTGAGCCTTGACCATTTCCTAGCCGGGCACCCTGACTTCTGCCCCTTTCTAGGGCCGGTGGCTGGACTCTGACCAACTCCCTTCACTAAAGGAGCCAGTCTTCACTGGCAGTTGCTGGTACTTGGCCCTCAGCCTGGGATGGCAACTCTACTAGCAGCTGGGTTCACTCCCACGTTGTCCTGGCTGAAGGGATTACTGTGTTTTGAAATGTAGCCATCGATTATCCAGTCTTGAGTACTGGGATTCCGGCAGGCCAGCAGTGCTGGCCAGAGTGGTGTGGCCTGCTTTGGGGGTTCCAGGTGGTATTACATGTTCATTTCATGCTTTGGGGGCTCTCTGCCCCACAAAACACTTCAGCAGAGTCTTGATTAAAAGGAAACCTGCAGACTCCTGGTGACCGACCTTTCCTTTCTGTCCCCCCCCCCCCCCCCCGAGACTTGATGACTGGGCAGCGGGGAGAGAATGTCAATCAGGGACAAGGACAGGAAGTAATGCCACATGTACTACCAGATTTAAATAAGCATTTAATTAAGATTTCATTAGTATTTAATATTGCTTTTTCAATTCCAAAAAGTTAAATTTTCACTTCATAGCAGATATTTTAAAGTACAATATTAAGTTTATACAAAATGAGCAATTAAGCAAACACCATTATTTCACATTCTTCAAAAATACAAATTTGTATTTATTCTTTTTTGGGTTTGGAAGTTTCTTCCTTTGGAAGTACTGAACCTGTAACGTTTTCATATCGCTCAGTGGAAGCCTGTTGTTCCCATGTTTTACATTTAAAATAAATTTGATACTTTTACATAATCCAAATAAAACTATTTGGGACTTAAAAACTTGTCACCAAGACCACTGGCCAATGATTAGTGTGTGTTAGAAAAGAGAATTTGTGGCTTCTTTTGGCTAGGTCTGAACCAGATAGCCAGAAGAACCTGTTTCCAGCCACCTTTCCCAAACTGGAACTAGGCATGAGTTCACTGGAAAGGGGAGGAGTTGCCTGGAACTCTAGCCTCAATGACATTTTCTCCAAATCACAACAAAAGATGCAGACTGTTGAATCAAACAGCCCTTGGGAGGCCTGAGAACACACGAGGCCAGGGCAGAGGAGCCTCTGACTTGGCACCACGAGAGGAAACTGCAAAAAACACCCTAGGTTTTGGTGGAAAAAAGTTTTATGAAAAAAATTCCTGTTTAAAAAAGTAGAAACTGCATTGAGTTGAAAGCGACATGACATTATCACTTCTTTTTGGCCCAGTAGACCACCACCAAAGGAGCAGTGCATGGTTTTTAAACCCATTTCTAGAAAAAGCTTGTACTATAATATGCCTTGACAGATCTAATAACTTGTATTTTCAGTGCAGACTGAGAAGCCCTCTTGCCACCAGGAATGACAGTTAGAAATGCCCAGGCTAATGATCAACACCCCCCCCCCAAAAGAGCAGGGGCATAAGAAACGAGACCCTTTTATCTCTGCCCCAAGAACATGCCAGAAACAGGCCAGATTGACCAATCAGATCTGGCGTTGTGGCTGAACCTCTTTCACTGCTTGCTAACTGCATCTGTGGAAATCTTGCTCTGGCTGAAGTGTATTTAAAATGCCTCTGGTCTTCAGCTGGGCATTTAGGACCAGGTGGGGGCCTATGGGGGGAGATTATTAGTGGCTTTATTACTGGATTTGATGAAGCCCGGCAGTCTGCAGTCTGCTTTGAACCAACACAGCTGGTGCAGAGAACAGCACAGAAATGGCTTGTATTGTTCACTCCTTTCATATTTGATTGGGGGGGGGGTAAAAAAAAAAAACTGAAATGAGCACTAGTGGTGCTGGTTCCACAAATCAATAGTTTCAGTGACACTGGAGAAGCTGTTCCTGTCAATGGATGTGATTACAAATATGAAAGTCTAGAAGGTGCCAGGTTTTTACCTAGGAACAACCTGTCCATTCCTTCCAGGAATCATTTTGTCATGGAGGGGAAAAGTAGTAGGGGACCAAGAAGTGGTAGAAAGGGGGCTCAACAGTCAGAAAGAAACAGCTGCAGCAGTTCCTCAGAGGGCCTGAGGGGGCGCCCGGGACACAGGGAAGGCTTGCATAGATTGAGCAGCTGCTGAGATGGAGGATAGTGTTTCCCTATGGACAGCTCCAGCACAGCGCTGACACTGACAGAGTGGGAAAAACAGGCCAGGACAAGGCCACATGGGGTAACAACTGTCAAGCTACGCATATATTGCACCAAAGTAAGTGCTTTGCTTTTCACACCTCAACTTTTCTGAGCAAAAAATAAAACTTTGTGGAAAGTATATATATATATATATATATATATATATATATATACATACATATATATATGTGTATATATATATATATATATATACATACACAACAGAAATTGCAGCAATTGGGTTAAAGATAAAGTAACCTAAAGTGCTTTTTATTATTTCTTTAATATACCAATATGAGGTTCTGAAAATTTGTCCCTCTGGACACATTCAGTATCATACAAAGCCTCAGGAAAACCTCATCAACTTCCATTACCTCATCAGTCCACTGCCTTGACTTGGAAAACCACCTTTTCCCATGTACTGACTCTCTGGAAGGGAAGGGAAGCCCCTTGCCTTTTACCTAGAGATCCCCACATCTCAAGGCCTCTCCTTGGCATTGTACCATGATCTTTTAAACCAGAGTAAGTGTCAATAAGTGACAGTACTCCAGTCACCAAACCAGTGCTGCCCCATGAGGTTGGCCAGACCCTGTCAATGAGACTGAGCCACCTTCCCTCAGCCTTGCCCTCCAGTCTGGGAAGGGCCCCATTTATAAGGCAGTTCGGTGGGACCAAAGTTACCTGACCATCTCCTAAGTCCACCTCCTAGTCTCTTGGAAGGGGCTAAACTGGAGATGCCAGTAGTAGCCCAAGTATGGTCTACAGGGTGACAATGGTGAAGGCTGCCATGGGAGGAAGAATCTACCTGCCAGAATTCATTCTTCTTTGCCTTACCCTAGGTCCATCCCCTGAGACGCTACTCTCTCCATAAAGGTTCTTTCTGGCTCTAGCTTAGCCAGAGGGCTCCCTCTTCTCCAAGGTCCTTGGCATTAGAGGCCAGGCTTCTGGGAGGGGGATGAAAAAGGAGAGCTGGCACAGCACGGCAGGACATCTGTCTACCCTGTGGAACACGCCCGGCCCTGCACAGCTGCCGATTTTAAGCACATTCCTCGATTTCCAAAAGCTATTTAGATCTGCAAGTCTCTTGTGTTCTGCAGTCACCCACAAAGACAAATACTTTACTCCTTCACCTGGAAACTCCCGTCAGCCTCCATGACGCTTACAGTCTTCTTCTATACCCCTCAACTGTGGAGAGTGAAAAGCCCACTAGTGACCCAGGAAAGGACTATTAAGAGCACGGCCCTAGCTAACCAAGAAGCCATATTTAAACTATTAAAACCTTCCACACATCCTCCCTGGGCACCTGTTTCCTATGTCAGCTCCCAGGTTATTGAGTTCGGGTCCCAGTCTCTGCTCTCCTCAGAGGTTAGAAAGAAAACAGCAAGGGCCTGAGTGCAAAGCTTCCTGTGGGTGCAAGTGCTAGAGACAGCCAAAGACAACCTGCATCCAATCAGCTGGTTCCTCAAGGAGACCTAACCACTGTGCTAACAAAGGGCTCTTCCTATTTCAAAGATTTCTGCTGAGGCCTATGGTTGCCCAAACCTACTGGCCATTTGGGGAGAGGGTACGTAGAGTGTCATTTAGAAATTGACACTCCCAGTCAACTCCTGGAATGGTAGAGCTGCTTGTACCTGCACCCATTTCTCCCCATTATTGCTGCCATGACTCTCTTGTTCAACTGTCCCTGAATATCTTGCCTTTAGACAAGGGCCTTCTAAAAATGACACCATATTGGCTGGCTCTGAGGGAACCGACAGCAGGAGGGCAGCCCACAGACCTCTCCTGTTGGCATGTTTGGGCACCGGAACTTGCTCCTTGCAGCAGAGCCTGGGCCCAGCTAGCCAGTGAGCTTCCCACGCACCAATGCCAAAGGACAGCAACTCCCATTCTCCTATGGATTGTACTTATATTTGAAGAGGCAGTAACCTGGAGCCAAAGGCAGGCAGATGGATATAATTCTATATACTAATAAAAAAAAATCCTATAACACAACTTAATGAAACATTCCAAACGAGGTAACTGACTGCAAGCTTCAGGCTTTTTGGTGGAAGGGGTTTTTTTTTTTTTTTTTGTTTGTTTGTTTTTTGTTTTTTGTTTTACCCTGAGTAGAAGATCATCGTTTTAGTTTTTCTTCCTTTTTGTTTAGAAATCACATCTTTGTTTGCACTGTACAAGGCTATATGCAAAATCCAGAGATGTGAGGGAATAACCAAAAGCCTGGCTAGAACTGGGTACCACTTGCTACTTCATCCAACTCCCTTAGACCTGCACCTTCTCTGGAGAAGCAGCTCTCCTGCTCTAAGGAAACAAACACCATCAAAGGCAGGCAGACTGGCAGCCACTGGCCATAAGCCGTGTGTTCACTTTAGGAGAAAACAGGGCGCTTCCTCAGGAGGGATGCACTCCAAGCTTCTAGCCCTGACAAGCACTGAGCAATGGAAAGAGCCACGAAGGCAAAGACTGCGGCTGTGCTAGAGCCAGCTCTAGCACATTATCAACAGGGTTGTCAACATCTGCCTCGGGCCCTGAAGAACCACTCATCTGTATGGCTAAGGGGCTTGAAGCTCCCACAGGGGCAGCAGGATACATGACAGGCCCCTCTGTATCTACTCCAA